TAAAAGCAGGACCACCATGTGTTGCCACCTTTGCTGTAAATGTTACAGGGATGGCTGGTCTGAACAAAGTGCTGCGAGGGTCGGGTGTTGGCGAGTCCCACAGGGAGCTCTGACATTGGAGTTGGGAGGACACAATGTGACTTGGGGTGAAATATGACATTGGGAACAGAAGAGAGTGATGGAGGCAGGGAAGAGGAGAGCACAGCTGGGAGCGAAAGAGCCATGCACAAATGACTAGTGATGGCTCTGCAGGATATGAGCCACGCGTCCGTCCGTCTGTCTGTCTGTGGAGAATATACACTGCAGCTCACCTTTACAGCTGGGGTTACATCTCTCTCAGTCACACGCAAGCAGACGCAGACAGACAAACCCACACAGCCACACCCACACATCCTCAATATATTGCTTTTTAACACTCACGCTTTGTCAAATGACGACCCCGACCTGCTGTATTTACATGTGTACATCAAATCCAACAACCGAAGCCCTTGCTGTCTTGTCAACTTCACAGAAAGACTGTACTGTGGACAGAGGGCTGAAAAAGGCGAGAGGGGGCCAATGTGCTCAGAGATGTTTGTGAAGATGAGCAGTATAAGGGAGAGCACAGAGGAGAAGGTGACAGCTTCCCTATATTGCTGCCAGTCATGCTACGCAGCACCAATGCAGCACTAGAGGAGTCGCCCCTGGCCAGCTGTGAACTTATTGATTCAAACTCTCACACTCATTCTCTGCTGCATACACTCCACTCTTCTCTGGCCATCTCTCCTTCACCTCCTCTTCCTATTGACCTATCAGTCTCCATTATTAGCTTTATTTTCTTCATAGATTTCATCTCACCGTTCTGCGTCGGCCGCACAGTGTAAGCAGAGTATTCATTTTTTTCATACATTTTCAAATGCAATGGATTTTAAACCTGTGTTTTTAATTCAGCTCCATGCCGTTCTGCTGGCTGATGTAACAAAAAGCAGTTTTTAGGTTTTGAATGTGCTGTAGGAGCCAGCATGACTTTCTGCAACAGTAAATGCATTTTCATCTACCTGTTTTTATACACACATTTTTAATTAGTGCATTTAAAAAAAGAGTGGAAGCATGCTTTACGCTTGGACTTCCTCACATGAATACATGAGACAAACGAAATGCCATGTTTACATCATGTTTTCCACATTATTTTTTTTCATTTGTGGTTTGACTGACACTATTTTAAATTACACCATCTTAATACATCCTCTTCTTCTGCTGGTTTAATGGCACCCGACAGGTATGATGTGCCCAACTCCTAATATTTGCATTTCAGCAGTGGATGAAAACACATATTCGGCTAAAAATTTGGGCAACATTTGAATGGAGACTTGACTATTATCTCACTGAAGACTCAAGGTTTATTAAAGGTCTAAAAGATCGCAGCACTCAACTATTGTGGGTTGAAGCTCAGTGTGAATATCCTGCAGAAAGCTGAACTGAAAGTTATAACCTGGAACTATCAGTAAGGTTGTGTGCTGCATAACTACAACTGATAGCGAACAACATCTTTACCTGACTTCTCTTGACAAGTTTCAACTGATGAATTGACACTTCCACAGCTGCGGATTAAACTAAGCTTTCTGTGTAGCAGAAATAGTCAAATGGAATGTTTATTTTAAATCTATTAAAATCCCATTTTATACACAGATATATTCTTGTTTGCCATTCTTGGCATCCAGCCAGGACTGTCGATTGATTAAAAAAAAAAAAAGAAGAACTAATTTTGAACTTTTTTTAAAAACAATCTTTGTAATGAACTATATTTAACCTGGGGGCGATGTACCTATGAATGCGGTAGATCTTAGACACAGTATGTCTTAAGAGGCACCAAATAACTTTAAACCTACAGGGATGGATTGTTTTCTCATTCTCCATGTCTCAGCTAAATTGTTGGTACTGCACTCAAGTCAGAAGCTAGTTCGATAAATGGCAAGTGGACTTTCTTGCCCCGAGTAGAGTCTCTCAGGCTGCATACAAAACCTGCCCACTACACTTCAAATGGAAGACTGATGGAGGGTTGCAGCCTGGATGTGAATGGTGCTTAGGAGGCACTATTCAGGGGAGGGAAGTCCCTTCAACACTTCACTGTGGTCAAGTTGGTGGAAGTGTGAGAGCTTGTGGGTGTCTTACTGTCTTTAAATTAAACATTTAGAATTTGTTGAAAAGGTTAACTCACATCACTTTGACAGCGCTAGTCCAAAATAAAGTACATCTTAGTCAAATCCCTGAAAAGCGCCTTTCATTTTCCCTCCCTGACCTGAAGGTCAACTCCTGGAGGATGAAGAAAGACTGACGCACAAAAATCTCTGTGGGAAGGTGACAAGAGATCAGCCAGGAGTTAGCAAGTCAGAGAGATGGAGTGTGAGGATGAGACAGTGTTAGAGAGAAAGGTGGGGTGTGAAAAAGGGAGCAGGTGTGAGGGTAAAAAGGGTAAGAGTGTGAGAGGGGAGGTAGGAAGCTGAGGAGAGGGTTAAGTGCAAAAAACTTGTCACCATCTAACACCCCCCACTCGACATCCACACTGAGAGGGTTTGTGTGTACATGGCAGGCCTGTGTGTGTGTGGACAAGAGTAACTGGTGTGGGAGTTTACTGTCCACATGAGCATGTGCCTATCTGGAAATGAACTGTATGTGTCTCACTGTGCGTATAGACTCGTGAAGTGGGATTAGCTGCTGGTTCCACTTGTATTTTTTCGTCACTATAAATTCACATTTGAAATGTTTGAAAGGTTCTAAATGTTCCACAACAAACCGCAGGATAATTTAAAAATACCTTATCGCCATTAGATTAAATTACTACAACTTTGTTTTTGAGACATGGAGTTTTTTCTGTGACTTTGGTACTCTATGGTAGACGGCTCTAAATATCTCAGATCTCATGAACCTCGTGCACCATTGCTATGGAGAAGAAGCCAGTCGGATACATGACTTCAAGCTGTGGCAAACGTTTTCTCGTTGTAACTGGGATAAGAACACTTCACCAAATGAAGTTGCCAAATTAAGCCAACACTGGACAGGAATATAAAAGTAAATTGATTTCGAGGAAGAGTTCAACATTTTTGGAAATATGTTTATTTCCTTTCTTGCTGAAATGAGAAGATTGGTTCCAAGCTACCTATGAAGCTAGAGCCAGAAGCCACTTATCTTAGCTTAGCATAAAGATTTAAAGGAGAGGGAAACACCTAGCCTGGCTCTGTCAAAAGCTCAAAAGCATGTCCAACACATTTTTATCTTGTTTGTTTAACCCATACAAAAACCAAAATGTTGTGGAACAAATCCTCCCTTCATGAAGGTTTCAATGTTCAGTTTTTGTTGAAACTGTGTTAAAGAGGTGTTGATTGTGTGACTGTTTTGGAGGGTGTAGTTTGTGGTGCTGTTGAACTGCATTGCGTCATACTGACAGGTATTTCTATTATTTTGTCCATCCCATTCAAATCACTGAGGGTAAACTAAACAACAGACACACCTCTTTGTGTAATGCAATACAGTTAATCAGCATCACGACTTGAAGACTCCAAAATGACCGCACAGTCGAATCCACAAGTCTTTAACAGTTTCAACAAAAACTCTAAATTATAATTTTCATCAAGGAAGGATTTACAGCAGGACTGTTGTATTAGACTGGATTAGTTTTAGCTAGGTGTACCTAATAAACTGACAACTGAGTGTGTGAGTTTAACCTGGCATCAGGGAATACAGGCAGGTGGGTGGGCAAGGAACATGTTTGATAGCTTCCTATAGCGTAGTCCTGTGTGTGTGTGTGTGTGTGTGTGTATGTGTATGTGGCTTGAGGGACTGGTCTGTGGGGAGCTGATTGCGCGGGCTCTCATTATGTGGCCAGTGGCTGTAATGGAGTGTGACAGCAGCGTGCTGTGCTCTGGATCTCTGTCCTTCCAGCCTGCAAAGCCAATTAAACACACTCTGCCCTGCTCTCCCACTGCCTCGTCCTGCTTCGCTCTCCATCACTCCCTCCTTCCTTCCTGCTTTCCACCCCCACCCCCTTCCCCCTCCACCACTACCACCGCCACCATCAGCTCCCCAGCCCTTCCTTGTCGGTGCCCACTCTCTCTGGGGCCTTATATGCCACCCTTTGTAGCTGACTCTTTCTAACTCCTCCACCACCACATCTCCAAGCTCAATACTTGCAGCTCTTTTGCTTCTGGCTCTTATTTCCTGTCGTCTACATAACAATTCAAAGCTCCAATTGCTTCTGCCCTCCCTCATGTACCCCTGAGCCTCCCCCACGCCAACCTAACACCTGTCTACCAGTGGCTTTGCAGTAAAGCAGGGCTCCTTTGCAAGGGGTGGGGGGGAAGGGGGGTGGGCAGAGAGAGAAGTGCTAGGCTGCAGGGGGAGAAAGCCTCTGATGACAGCTTCCCTCTGTGCTACCCCACACACACACACACACACACACACACACACACACACACACACACACACACACACACACACACACACACACACACACACACACACACACACAAACACACTAAATACAGGGAGAGAGGGAGAGGAAGAGCGGGACAGCAATACTTGGTTCCTCAAGACCCAGAGCAGTCATAACCACTTAGGAGGAAAAATGCCCTGCAGCACAAAAAACACACAAAGTCCATTTATCACTCCCTCATACTGCCCCAAAATGTGCACACACACACACACACACACACACATATAGTACACATATACTCAATGTGTGTATGTGTGTGTGTGTGCTTCCTTGACTGGACTTTTTTTTTTAAGTGTTTAAAATCAAGGCCTGAAAGTGCAGTCTGCGGCACAGACGCAAAAATCTTTCAACATCTTTCCTCCTCCTGTGAATCCCTCTGACAGCACCACTCATGTAGATGCAATTAGTGGCAGAATTTACTTCCTCCAAGGGAATGTGTGTGAATGTGCGTGTGCATGTGCATGTGCATGTACGGTGCTGAAGTGTGAGTTAAGAGAAATGGGGGGAGGAGGAGAGCAGGGTTTTTTCGTACCTGTTTTGAACCAGCCACCATCAATGAAAGACTCTCTGGTCTCCTGAGGTTTGTTCCAGTACTCCTTAAAGACAGACGGACCTCGAACCAGGAGCTCGCCCTCTTTCCCCTCCAGACCTGGACATACCTGTGGTATATTCACAGAGTGAACGGTTTAAAATACAGTTTAAGAGTTTAAATTAGCCAGAACAACACTTAAATGAGCATCTAGTTGATTGCTGGGTGATATACTAGCCAACAGCTGCAAGAAAACAAATGTTACACTGAATCTAATCTGTATGCAGAGTTATGAAGGCAAAATGCTGCATTTCCATGTGTAAATAAGTAGCCACTATCTGTATCCTGGCTTGTACAGTAGATTTCAGGGTTTTGAAATCAAAATCAATTACAAAACTTGACATATTCCTTTTTTTCATCCGCTGTCTACAGATACATCAGCTTATAACCTATCCATTAGTTGATTACCCGAGTGTTTCTGTGATCGCCCAGCACAATTGTGGTGTTGGTTGTGTTATTCATGACAATCCGAACTTCCACACGGGGAAGTGGTGACCCCACAGCCCCTGTCAAATCAAGCAGAAATACACAAGAAAAACACATGAGTATAAACTGACGACAGTCTATTCAGAGAAAGATGGTATGGTTTTTGTCCCTTTTAAAGAAGGTGGACACTTACATTGACAGTAACCAACAGAGTGATCACCACCAACATCTAGTGCAGGATTTCAACCACAGTGGGAGTGCTCTCTTCCGAGATGGCATTAACCTCCGTCTGCAGGGCATAACTGGTCACTAAATGGTTTGCTGAGCTTGTAAAACATTGTAAACCAAAAGCCATTCGTCTCAGTCACCACAAGTCAGCTTACTTTGGCAGTGATGAGGATTTCTTGGGAAATGCCTGATGCAGCTGTTTCCACCAACATCAAGTGAACTGTGATTAAGATAACTATTTCTGAACATTTGTCTTAGACTTTAAAAAACAGATACCAGGGCTAGAATACAATCTACCAAGTGTATTGATTTCTCAAAATGACACTGAACTACAGCATCCGTGGCTTTAAGTCAATCCAAAATTCACAGTATCATCCTTCTCTGTCTCTACTTTAGCACCACTTTTATGCTGAATCTGAAAATAAAAGCAAACTGCTTCAGTCTGTTACTCCTAACTACTGCTAAGTGCTTGACAAGGCTTTTTATTGAAGCACAGCTACATAAAAATGTTATAACTGAGCTGACCAATTATGAAATACAATAAGAGCTGTGTGTCAAAAATGCTGTTCATAACTGTGAGCTGCGCTAATGTTTAAGTGAAACTATTAATAAGAAATGTGTTAAAGAAATGTGCTACAAATTGAAAATGTACTGACACACACCTTCAGTCTCCGATCTTTGTGTGTGTGCAAGTGTGACCCCCTGAGTTAGTAATTATAGCAAGTGTGCAAAGGTGATACATGCTGTGTGTGTGTGTGTGTGTGTGTGTGTGTGTGTGTGTGTGTGTGTGTGTGTATCTGCCTGAAGTCTATTATACCGTTTCACAGACCACTGCTCTCTCAATGAAGAGCAGGTCAGGTCCCAATTAAAGAGCGATTCTCTCACTTCATATTGATCTAATCCACTTCAGTCCTGATTGGCAACGTCTATCACACGCCCTCCATCACTTGCACTCAGTGCAGCAGGGAAAACCAACTGACCATAAAAGTAACTACACTGTCACACTGTTACTCAGTGGACAAGAAGGATAACAAAGAAGCTTGAGTCATAAGGTTGCACAAAAGGTTGCCAAGTTACAATGATATCCTGAACTGCTGCTGACACTGTAAACAAGGTTAATTGAGACCTGAAGCGCAAGGTTTGCTCTGGTATCTTACTTTCATTAGAGTCAGAGTGTCTGTGAGGATCAGCTACAGCTACAGCTGGAGGACATTCAGTGTCTTGCTAAGCGGGGTTAAGCTGCCAGGATGCTTCATCAGAACTGCTTGTCGGACAGTCGCATAGCTTCGGAAACCCCATACCTTTGCGATTCAGACTGGAGGGGGTCAGTGTCCAATCATTTCTATTACTTTCATGCCATTATTGGCCAGTTGTGTAGAGCTGAGAAACGAGTCTTTGAACTTCTCTCTCTAACCATCTTTGTTCCATTTGTTACACCAGATCTTAGAAATCAACACGGTGCGTATAACATAATTAGCAACTGGAATGAAAAAACTGAATTGTCCTTTACAACACAGCTGGTGATAAAAACCAGAATTAAAACCAGAAAAGGTAAATCTCAGCCTCTCGTCCTCTTTTCCTCTAATCGTGGTGAAGAAGTGCAGACTGAGTAATTTTCCTTGAGTTCTTCACCAAGTCCAACAAAAAAAAAAACCCGCCATCTACAAAATGACAAAATCAATGACATGACTCCCATCCCTCAAATGCAAAATCCATTCATGGTTCAACTCAGGGAATCTGTGTGTTCCTCTATGGGCTCCTCTATCATCTTTTTTTTTCCTCTCTCGCATCAGGGGCTCGAGAAACTTTGGAGTCTTGTAGTATTCTGGTATCAATGATTCAGCAACAATGAGTGTCATTTTGAAGAGAGCAGGCAGGTTATAAATGCTACATGCTAGATGGGAGTGGAGTGGAGCCAGAATGACAAAGGTCCAGATAGGATTGCTCTATAGCTACTCTAAGAAGTTATTGAAAGATTTCATGTTTTCTGAGCTTCAAATGACATAAAGCTTTGGAAGGATGACATCTGGATGAAGACGGATTCAGGCCTGGAAGATGTGACACTGTCTGTTTTCAAGAGTGTGATAATGAGATGGAAAGAAGTAGGATGAACCAATCTCATATATTTACATCTCAACAACGGCAACATGACTTAGAAAGCCACACTGTTGTTAATCTGGAATGCCCCACAACTGTTAGATATACAACAAAATCAGGCCTGTTAGATTATTAATAAAATTGCCATCAATAAGGTGTATAAAAACGATGAGTTTTCTGCAACCTAGTTGGCGGGGGACAGAAAGAAACGACAGTGAGTGTGTGTGAGGGAGGGAGAGAGAGGGTGACTCCACTCCACTATGCCTCTGAGAGTGTTTCCTGCGGTTGCTATTGATCCATTTTAACCTACTTAAAGACAAGACAGGAACACACTGACTCAAACAGCCACAAGCTCATGCCTGCATACACTTACACCTAGATACAAACACGCATACACACAAACGTACACACATCTTCCACAAGTCTCTGCGCTGCAATGGAAACATCAATACAACCACAGACCTCTTGAAGCCATTCTTAATAATCACCTGAGAGGAATCAAACAAAGCCTGTTCAGTTTATACCAAACATTAGCTGACAAACAAACAAAACAATGCCCCAGCAAAACAGCAGACAGAGGATTACCCGATCCACTTGCAAGCTAATTAGCTTTACCTGTAAGAGGAAGAGTTGGCTGGGGAACAGGAAGGGAAGGAGAAGGTGGGGAAAGAGAGGAAGGAGGGAGGACAGGAAAAGACAGGAGAAGAAAGCAACCACCGCTAGTCTGACCTCATTTCCCCACCGTGCCTTTGTTTCTGCATGTGTGAGGGAGGTGTAGTTGGGATCGTGGGGTTTTACCTGACATCACACCAGAGAAAACTGCCTACGATCAAAACACAACACATGAAGCCGAAGCACTGAATCAAACTGGTGAGGGTAGTGGAACAATAACAGTTACTGACTGCATTGTTATACAAACGGTTTCCTTTCTTCGATGAAAAGTGCAAAATAATCCCAGAGAGTTTAATTTTACACGCTGTTGTTACAGCAGTGGCATTATATTTATAATATGGCTGTAGTGCAAGTAAAAGATTGCATTTTTTCACCATGTTTGTCCACTTTCTATCAAGAAATATGTCCATAAGGTCTTAGAGGATGCTTGAAATATAAAGTAGCCATCTGAATTATGTCGAATCTATGATGTCTAGAGGACTTTAACCAACTCTGATGCCATTTTAACAGATGCCTAAAGATTTCACCAACAGATCAGCAAAGTTGTTTATAGACTGCAGTTTTCTAACCTGTCTTACAGTGATGGTGTTCACGCCAGTCAAAAGCACATGAGGAAATGCTGCTCTTGGTTTGTTTAGTCATGACAGAGTTTTCAAGCTTGAGTAACTGCTGATTATCAAACCTGTCTTTAAAAAACGTTTTGTTCTGGCTTCATTTCCTGCCGCTGATCCGACAGTTGACTTGTAACCTCACCACATTTTGCTTGGAAGAAGACCAAGGCCTGTATTTTCAGCTTTGTTAGTGCTGTTATTGTTTTTACACCCGGGGTCGATTGATATTATTGCTCTCAACCAGAGGGAGGCAGAGTAAATAACTCTGAAACATAGATGGTCTGTGTATGACCTTTAACCATGCTTGTTTGTATGGAAGTATATAAGCATCCAGTCAAACTTGTGTACCTGGGATGCGTGGGCCCTTGAGAGGGTTGGACAGTGCCATGCCGATCTCGGTCATGCCGTAGCGTTCCAGCAGTGTGTGTCCTGTAATCTCCTCCCAGCGCTGCAGAGTGGGAAGAGGGAGAGCAGCCGAGCCCGAAACCATTAACCTGGAGAGAGAGAGAGAGAGAGAGAGAGAGAGAGAGAGAGAGAGAGGACCAGACATGAGGGAAACACTCCAGGCTCCAAATAACACATTTCTAGTTTTTACTATGCCATAATAACTTTTTCAAACATGTCAATTTTAAGTCTGTTAGGACTGGAAATTAATAGGGGTTCACCGTAATGATGGGCTTTAAAGTTTATGAAATAGCTGGAAATTTAAAAAAAAAAAAAAAAGGGGTAAAACATGTCAAAGAGAATTAGGAAGATCGTTTTTGTGCATCCATGGTGCACATTTTGTCAGATATTGATCAGTCATTGAGTAGGGGAATTTGTCCACTGGTCCGCGTCGAAAATTGCATGATACTAACAACATAAAAAAATGTTTGAAAAGAAACCCAAAATATATCAAGGGGCAATAAAATACCCCTTATCGCTATTCTGACGTAAAGTGTCCTAGTAAACACGAATCTGTGGATCAGCTTCTGTCCTCCATGACATAGATGCTACGTCTCTGAAACTCTGCTGGAGGGATGAACACCATTCTTCCAAAAGACAGTCCCTCATTCAGTCTCACTGATAGTGGTGAAGAGCTCTGTCTGACACGTGTTCAGTCAGGTTCACATGGCCATAGTGTATAGTCTGTATATACACACATATACATGCATCCACAAATACATCTACCCATGAGTAAGCTGTCTGTCATTGATCCCGCAGCCCGTACCTGATCCTTTCTTTGCAGACCGCTCTGACAAAGTCCTTGACATGAGGCTGTGTGAAGTGCTGATCATAGTACTGGATCAGCTTAGAGTAGATAGTTGGCACAGCCATGAACACATTAACCATGGGAGCCTTGGAGCTCAACAGCATCTCCCACACCTGCGACACAGCAGAGAGAGAGAGAGAGAGAGAGAGAGAGAGAGAGAGAGAGATAAGCATAACACAAGAGGGAGGAGGGAGGACAGAGATAAGGAAAGGTGAAAAGGAAAGCAGTGTATCTAATGGATGGGGCCATGCAAACTAAATTATTACATCCAGATTCATTCCATTACAGCATGTGATAGAAAAAAAGTTACTTTTTTTTTTCTGTATTTGATGTAAATGGCAGAGTAAAGTCCAGACAGCGACCTTATATTAAACCTGTCAACACAATGCCAAAAAGACAAGAAAAAAAAAGTCAGGATTTGTAAAGGTCAGAGGGAGGAAAATAGCAGACTGCTGTGGGCCAGTTAAAAGGCTACTTCTGACAAATGTGCTTTTTGACTGTTACAGAAGGAGCCACTCATGTCCTCCACTGCATCAAGCATGCTGCTTTAAACTCACATGCAGGCTTGATGGGCATAAACATACACCGTGAACCACATTCACATATAAAGATACTGTTCAAATATCATATAAACCCACTCGTTCAAGGACAAAGCGATTTTACACATGCCGCCCCACCCACTCCACCTCATCCCACACACACACGTAGTCTGGGTACATCACAGTAGATGATGGGAGGATGGGATGACAGCATGAATTAAGTGAAGGTGAACGACAGCTTCTCTAACTCCCGTCTCCCCCTGGGAGACAAACGCTCCTCCCCAGCTGTCTCCCCTCCCCTCTCAGTCTACTTATCCTCACTTCTTCTCCTTTCATTCTACCTCCATTTCCCAAGTGCTTCTTTTTCATTCTCTACTTTCATCTCTGACCCAGCATCCTCCCTTCATCTTTCTTTCTCACCTCTTCCCTTCATTCCCTATCTCACATTCACTTACCTTCTCTCTCCATTTCGTAATTTCCTGCTTCGCTGCCTCTGCAGTCGCCCTCTTTCTTACCCTCTCTCTCACACACACACACACACACACACACACACACACACACACACACACACACACACACACACACACACACACACACAGAAAGATGTAGTCTCTCCCATCATCGGTCTTACCTACAGTAACACCACATCTCTCTTAATGTGCCAGAAATTTCTAAACTCATCCTTCCACTTCTCCTTTGAGTCACCTCGTCGTAGACTCCTCTAATCTATTACCTATTAACTTCCCTTCCGCTCACCTCCTCTGCTTCTAGCAAACAAGCATACCTGAAATGTATAGACAAATAAAACTGAGATGATTAAGATTTGTCAACAGTCTAATCGAATCCATATGCCATTCCTCACAATACCATTTCAAGTTGATGTAAAAATTGCAGGCGTTCACAGTTCACCTGCACACATACAGAATAAAACTCCATGCAGAGAGAAAGATTATTAACTGAGTGTGCCCTGACCATTCTGGGTGGTGTCTATCAAGTGCAGTGGAGCGCTTCCATCAAGTCCAGTCTGGAGGGGAGAGGAAGGCAATTTATGTCTGTCAAAGAGTTGGCCTGCACCTAGGGGACAGGATGTGGTGAGAACCCAAAGCCACGGCCTGCATCCTAAACAACTCTATGAGCTGCTCAGCCCTGCACTCAACATGAGACTCCAATACAACTGCCAATTCTTCTTGAGAAGGATTAGATGTTGAACGTCACAGGTCCGTAGTGCTGAGTATAGAAAACTGTCAGGTATCAAAAGTTGGCACTGAAGCTTGGTCAGACCTTTACATAATTGATCAGCTGTTTACCCTCGATAAGCTATAATAATGCTGCTAATTTCAGATTTATTTAGAAAGTTTTTGTACAGTGGCTTGTATTAAAACACATTTAAATGGTGATGCATTTGGCTTATTTTTGGTTTAAAAAAAAAACTATGTTCAAGAAGAATATTTTTATATATCTGAAGGTTAGGTAATAAAAAATGGTTTTGGTAATGGTACAGAAAGTCTGGTATCGTACTGGTGACACTGTCAAAATAAGAGTCTACAGCCATGCTGTGGCTGTGTGACGCTGTACTTTGGCACAGCTGTGCTTTGAGCTGAATGTGAATCTCTGCATGCCAACAAGCTTACAATGACAAAGCTAACATGCTGATGCATATGATGTTTAGGAGGTTCACCCTCTTAGTTTTAGGTCAAACTTTAACATTTCGCAATGAGTGCTAAACACATAGTATAGCGGCAAATGATGGGAGCGTCTGGTTTTTCAGGAATTCAGGCACGTACCAGAGTATTGAGCAAACTGAAATTTGAAAAGTCAGGGGTGATTACAATTACATTATTTGTGAGGGGAACATGAATGTCTGAAAGAAAATTTCATGGCAATCCTTTCAATAATTCAGTGATAATTGTTGAGGTATTTCATTCAAAACCACAAATGTTCACTGCATGTTGAGGAAAAGTCAGGGGTCCACCAAAGTCAGTGGGATTTATCCTCTGGGGAACAGACTGAATGTCTGTACCAAATTTTGTGCCAATAAATCGAGTAGATGTTAAAATATTTCACAGGATAAATGAAAAGTCGGATCTGCTGGTAGCAATAAAGTAAAAGTGGGGGAATTGCCAAAACCAGTAAGCCTCCTGCACTGGAGAACATGAATGTCTGTACAAAATCCCATGGGAATTCATCCAACATTTGCAGAGATATTTTTGTCTGGACAAAAGTGATGGATGCCCGACAGCCTAGTACTATAGACTTAAATTGCCTCCCATAAAGCCAAAACACAGCCAAATGCTTCACCCCCCCCCCCATGTCTTGTCCAACCTAAACCATTGGTGTATGAAATATCACTTTAAAGATATCAATTTTGACTCTGGATTATACAACAGGCAGATGTAAGTGTGTAAGGATACTTTTAAAGTAACTCCTTCATCAACCAGGCTACTTAATAAAATGCCTTTACCTGTTAGAACGCAATGAACTGATGCACTATGATATTACATTTGAGTATAACTTTTCTTAATCTGTTGAATGAATAATTTACTTATTTATGCTTAATCTAAATATAACTTGCTGTGACGCAATAGTCAATGGGGATTTAAATAAACAAAATCAGACTGGTGCTGTATGAACCCCAGGAGGAGTATCTGCCCCTGTCAGCCTGAAACAGTACGCTTGAAATAGACTTATCTGCGATTTACTGGATCACAATTACTGCAGTGAAAATTTCTTCCACTATCTCTAGGCAAAATCAGTAAAAATCAATGCCGGTCTCTGCTGCCTAGGCTACCCTTCAGAGATCTTAGGGGAAAGAAGAGACAGACTATCGATCACTTCATCAATGTACTGTAACTTCAGGAGGAGGAGAATAAAGGCTTTTTTCTGAGGGTGAAAGAAGGGGTTTTGTGGTTTGGTACGCAAGGTCAAGGATAACAGTTGAATACTGATAGCTATAATAGTGTTGCAATGCTCGTGTTGACAGATACATATGTCCTTTAAAGACCTTTCCTTTCCATCTACCTTCACTGCCATTAAGCTGTAGAGGTCCTGACATACAAAAAAAAAACCACACATACATTGAAAAACGTGCATTCACACTTCTATACACACACTTAGCACCCCATCTTCCCCTCCCTCCCCAGGGCCAAACAAGCACTATCATCCTTCAATGTCAGCTCATCGATTGATCTGCTGCTTAAGCCCCTGCCGTGAGTCGGCATTGGTCAGATACAAAGCCACACAGGGCAATTCATCACTGAGCCCCAAACACTTAGTTTGACAGGCAGAGAGGAGGAGGAGGAGGAGGAGAGACGATAGAAGGAGAGAGGGAGAGGAGACGAAGCGGAGAGAAAAGAGGGAAGAAGAAAAGTGGAAAGGGAAACACTCATAGAGAAAGAGGGATTTATGTGGAAAGAGCTGAAGGTCTTTTTCAACCCAGCAGCATTTTGTCCATACAGGACTTCTAAATCTGAAGTACTTCTCAGCCTCACTGTCATACAGTCGCCTCCTTAGATTACAGTTGAACAACTGCTTCTTTTGTTCATAGGTGTTCATGAAACTGCACCAAGAGAAAGAGTTGGAGAACAAGAAAAAGACAAGAGATAAAGTGCAGTCCTGACCTTCTGAGGCTGGAACTCAGGCAGCATGACGCAGGTGGCGCCCACCCAGAGTGGGCACAGCAGCTTGTTAACGATGCCATGCACGTGGTGTAGCGGCAAGGTGTGGAGGATGACATCATCTCTGGTCCACGCCCACTCTGAAACCAGACCCTGGACCTGACATGGAGAGAGGTGGAAGGAGCAGGGAGGAAAGAGAGGAGGGGGTCAGCGTGTCATATCGTCTTCAAAATAAATCATCTCAACCAGCTCCTAATGTTGCAGACATGATGATCTCGTGATGATCTATAGTACAGAATCGAATCTTGTGGCTCATTTGAATTCTTCACCATTGTACTATAATGTTCTGGTAGTATGTATCTTAATCTTTCTAATGGGACCACTGTAATTTCCATTTTTTATGGATGAATAAAATAAACTTTGATCTTGAACCTTGTCTTGTGGAGGAGTGAATAGGAGCGAACTTACTCCTCAGGTCATGTTTGATTTTGTGGTCTCGTCATGCAGTTTCCTCCTAGCCTGCTGTATTCACATATCAATTAGTAATTTCCTGTTTTTGCCCAGAGACCTCTATCCCTATGAGTAACAAATATGGCTTTAGTTGGACAGCAAAATAATAACTCAAAATTATTACAGTCATTATGGTCTATGACCGCTCCTGAAAGCTGTATGTCTGTTCAACAATTAATGTCTCCCTGCATGATATGTAAACTGAGTATAGATAATATTTAGCACAGAAAGAACTAAAACCTGCTCTTTATCTCTATGTTTTGAATAATAGATTGCTGCTGTGATTGTAGATGCTCTGAAATAGTGTATCTCAGCATGATGTCACATCAACATACAGTCTTTTTTTACAAGTCCTGAATTTTAAGTAGTGGATTGCTTGCCTATTTTTCATTAAGCCTGTAGTTATTACAGGAATGAAGGATATGAAAGTCTCTGTTCTTCAAGCAAGGACAGTAAATTGAGTTTTATTAATTTTATTCCTAAACCTCACTAACTTTCCATTTAGCTTAATTTAGTTGTCAAAATTATATATGGTGATTATGGAGGTCATGGAAAGTACTGTCATCATCCTCTCACCCTGTGAACTTATGTTGTGATAGTTAAGCAGTAAACTGGGGAATTGTGTCTGTTTAAACCAATTTTATGTTTTTGAAGTTATAGAAGAAGCCATGTGAAATATAATGTGTAAACATTATATTTAAATGCAACAGTGTAAACACTGTCTTTGTGTAGCATATACTGGTCAACATCAGTTCAGGCTGTGTGAGAAAAGTTCGACTAAAAGGTGATTTGTACCTCAGAGCTGTATTGAATTGCATTACATTGTACACATGTGCTGGTTATTGTGTCCTGTTCACTGCATGTGTATGCAGATAATGTAGTATAAATATATAATTTGTGGCTGTGAAACTTCCACTGTGTGCTTCTCAATGTAAATGGAAAGTAACTGACAGCTATGAATTTCTGAGACACTTGCAGAGAGCAGATCTCAAGTTCAGTGTGGGATCGTCTTTTGTTACAGATGTTACTGCAGTTTGTGATCACGGCATTCAGCACTCCTCTGAAATAGTTCATGATGTTAGCTAGTGAAGGAGTTTTTCTCACCTCTAGTGTTTATCTTATTTTTCTATGCCTCAGTCATTTTCCCAGGGTTCAGGTCATAGGGGCATTCACTGTGTTATACAGTGGTTTTCTGTTTAGCTTCCATTATGTCTATTAATGTATAGAAGGAGCCACCTTCATCCTCCGCAGCTAGGGTAGCAAAGGTCTTATGGATAAGGATGTAGAGAAAAGCATAATTTTAGAGAATACTGTTCAAACACAGTTCTAGTCAAGGATGAGTGAAATATTTCTGCCTGAGTCATCTGAATTCCTGGCGATCGTCTTTTTCTTCAGCTCTCCAGCAAGGTTTCAACCACAAGCATTTTTAACTAATATATTGCACGAAACTCACCGCAGCCTACAGTGTATCTCATTAATTAGGTTAGGGAGCTTGTATGTAAGCTTTTCATTTTTATATTCAGAAAATGCTACATTGCTGTCTGGCACTATCAAGCATATAATCAATAATCAATACCCAAAAGGATACAAACAATACCCAGTAAACATATTGACACTGTGATAGACATCAAAACTAGTGAACAGGGAAGATGGGCAACAGAAGCTCATCTTAAATCCAAGCTTAAATTTGGCAAATTTATTTTCTCTTCAGGTTTGTCCCACAGATTCATTCACGTTAACCTGGCAGTGGAGCTTTCCAGGAAATCTGACAACCTGATGTTGTTGCCATCCAGGAAAACAGACAGACTCACTTAATCACTCACTTACCTCCCTGGGCCAACCAGAGACAAATGAAGCTCTGCCGTCTTTCAGAGTGATTTAATTTTCCACACTATTGGACATGTAGGTCAATTTCCCTTAAAATATACAGGAGAATCTTGAGGAGATCTTTAATGGCATAAATGAGTGATTATTTAGAAACCTCGACGGGAACAAAAGAGGAATGAGTTGATCAAGGAGTCAGATATGGATGTGGGCTGGGTGTATGAACACTTCTAAAACATGCAAACAAATCCATGTGTCTATTTGATAGTTTTGTGGATCTCTGGACAGTCACTTCATAATCTCTGCCTGCATTGGGGAATATCCTGTAGAAAGACTTAAAGGTCAAGAAAGGCCTGACTCTTGAGTTCAAAAGCCACTTTCAGACATTGAAACTTGTGATTTTTCTCAGTATAAATAACCTTGACCTGGATATTTAAGATAGCTGTCCGTTGTTTGAGAAAGATGTTGGAAGGTAGTTAAATACTTTACTGGTGGTTTCGCACATTTTAGTCCATGAAATACGGTGTATTAATAATTTACTATGTAATAATTCTGTGTATTTCAAGGGGTAAATTGAGTGAAACCAAACGGCCATTTACCAGATAAGTTCTGATATAAACTGTCTAACCATTGTACCTCAGTTACACTGGTTTCCATTTATTTCAAGACCTGTACTAATAACCAGTCTCAGTTTTGGAAATTCTTCCTTGTAGGTGGATTTATGAAAACCTCAAGATTTGATAATTAAGCATCATCTGCCAAAAAGCATTGCATTCAAAGGCCATGTTTTAAGTAAATCAAGTAAATCACAAAGACAGGCATGGGCACCATGAAAAAGAGTATTTAAACTTTGCAACTTCTAGCATGAAAAAAGCAGATGGATGAAGTCACTGATATCTGAGTTTCTTATAAGCACCTGAACACACCAACAAGGAGGCGCTTAAAGCACCCACTTCCCAAATATTCCGATGACAATGTGCAATTTTGATTAATGTGTTTTGGCCAATCACAGTCACATCCAAGTAGCAAACAACTCTCTTCTCCTCTATTTAGAGAACAGCTGGTAAAGACACAGACTGAGGAGAGGTAAGGAAATGAAACTAAAGGCAGGAGAGTAGATTACAAGGTCCAACACAAATATTATATCAGTTATTATAGCTCAACCAATATAGTAATTTTGAGACCTACTGATATGGATATTTGAGTTTAAAATATCTGATAATGATTTATCAGCCAATATTCATCTTTGTACATCAACAATAACATACACAAATAAACTTGATGTGGAACACTTAGAATTCTTTTCTTAATGTAACGAAGATACTGAGCGGGCAAAAATCAACTTGTCAGTGCTCTCTTGTGGGCAAATTATGTACTGGAGACACTGTTTCTGAATGACTTCAAAACTTGTTTGGTATTTCTATATTGCAATTTCTCATTACTTATCAGTCGACATATATACCAATACAACACCAATATCAGCCAAATTGATTAATCAGTCTACCTCTTACATCAATATCATAAACTCATTGTTGAGTACAATGCAAAGTATGGATTTATATTTGTAATATTTAGTCTGAAAAAAGGGATAAAATTCCCCTTGCATTAATATTAACTAATGAAGACACTTCATAAATTATAAATATTAAATATTACAGGGCTGTTATAGATTAGGTGAATGGTTTAAAACAGGATTATATGAAGACTATGGTGAACAAAAACAAAATCAGACAACCCACACTGCTTGTTATTTTAATTAGCCATTAGCTTTTTGTCCATTAGCACCAGCTGTGCCGTCCTCCGCTATGTCAAAGTTGTGACCTTTGTCGGTGCAGATAAACATCCACCGCCATCAAACTAGAAGCCGATGAGTATGACATCCAGGAGTTTTAAAGTAATTTGTTTTGTTTACAATGTAATTATGGTTTAAAAGATAACACTTACCATGGCTTGGATGTTGCTGTGCATATGTAGAACTCCCTTGGGTCTCCCTGTGGTGCCACTCGTGTAGATGATCATAGCTGGTCGATCGGCCCAGTCTGTGATGGCTGCCTCCTTCTCTTGGGTGTCTGTCCCATCTAAAGTGCCCAGGTTAGATGTAGGAGGCAGTGTCAGGCAGGGCAGGCCCAGCTTCAGTGCCAGTGGCTCGAGTGTCCCGGCATAGGGATGCCCCGCCACAAGCAGTGAACTCTGGGAGTCAGAGATTATGTACTCTAATTCCGATTGTGGGTGTTTTCGGAAGAGTGGCACTGCCGTCCCACCGCTCATCCAAGCTGCCCACTGTGCCACCGTATAGGAAGCATCATTAGCACACAGGAAGGAGATTCGTTTTCCTTCCAGACCCCCGAAGTCCAAGTTGAGAGCGGTACTGATTCTACCTGCAAGACCTAAGCTGCTGCAATACAGCTGCTTGTAGCTGTGGCTGCCACTGCTGTCTATGATAGCAGGCTTATCTCCAAATGCTGGAGCTCTGACAAACACTGGCTTCTGGTTTATCCTTGATGATTGGGCTGCAGTCCATCTGTGAGCCCTTCTGTGAACCACAGATCCCAGTAGCCATTGCCCTGGCTCTGATGGGAAATATGTTCTATGAAAAGTGGCTTTCCAGTGAGGCAAAGCCCACTTTAGAGAGTGGCAGGCAGCAGCAACAAGTCTTGACAGCATGTTTGAAAATCAGCTGTTCATACACTCCTGGACCTCAAGATGGCTTCATCCTCACTCTCTTGCATCTGCAAATACCAGACAATATCTGTTAGTTGACCAGGAAAGGGGCACACAAACTTAGTTTGAAATACCGTATGTAAAATACAAATTATACAAATAATCACTGTCCTCTGGAATATTCAATATGGCTGACTGGCAATGACTTTTTCTTTCACTTTTATTCATTAACAGAAAAATTAGAAGAGCAGTCCAACGATTTAGTTTGCAATGCAGGTTTTCTGTTAAAATATTCGAAGGCTCAAGCCGAAACTGAAATTATATCACCATGATTAACTTTGTCAGACTTTGTAAAGCTCCCTCCAGAGCCACAGAAGCAGTATGCTAGTGTTCAGACAGGCAGAGCGGTGCTCTCTGTGACTGAAGTGTCTTCGCAGTGTTGAGTGTTTGGACTGTTGGTTGTACAGAACAAGCAATTTGAAGGTGTAAATTTGATAATAAAAGTAAGTTTACCTCAGAAATAGAGCAGAGTGTATGTAGCTGTGTTACTGCCACAACCGTCTGAAGCACAACAACACAAGAACTGACATGTACGTTACCGCCAAAAATAACTGAGGAACTGCTCTTTTTGTTATTTCCACTGACTGGGTCAGCTCGGTTCAGGTCGACGGTTACCGGGACATTTGACATTGTTTATGTAACTGACAGTGACAGACTGATGTACTCCGACACTGTGCGGACGTCAGCCAAAATACAACAAGAATGTTCTTTCTACAGCGAATAATATTTCTATATTTTCTCAAGTAATGCCCTCATTCCGTTAAACACACACACACTGCCATTAATTCATAAATGCCTTACCTAAATCAAAAACCGGTACCTCTTGTAGTGACGGACGGTGCAACGACATGAATATTCCGACATGAAACAACAACGATCACGTACAAGGTTCCTGTCTACACGCAAACAATATAGCGTGTGTGGCAAATGAGACTTTAAAAATACTGATACTTTAATGAAATTGTTCTTAATTCTTTAACATATTTCACTAAATAAAATGAGATGAATCTACTTATTTTTTTTTACAAATATAATCCTGTGTACAAGAATAAACATATGGATAGACAGTTTCACATTATGAAAAGCAATTACAGGAGTAATTGCAAATACTGAAGTACAGTATTTTAAAATCATCAAGTGAATCCAAAGATTAGTTTATTTACATGTTTTTTGCATGTCATTTGCAAAAAGCACAGTACCTGGAACCTGTTCTTCCAAGCTCAAGTTTGTACATGTGATACAGCTATACAGCTAATGTTTAAATATTCTGTGACTTGATTGTATGTACTGTGTTTAGATAAGACCAGAGAGCAGAGGTAATGAGGCAGTGTTTGTAGTGGGGCTTTGTGGATAGCCTACAATGCACTTCCCTTCTGTCAGTGAAGGAGGACCTTCCCATGTTTTCATAAAAGACGCAAATAGTGAGTGAGGAATTCATCACCTGTGGTAAAGAACAGTGCACCATGATGCACAGAATCAAGAGGCTCTAAGGACTGCAGATCCAGTGGAGAGGTGACTCACCTGAGACGTGGACATGGGGAGAGAGAGTACAGCATATATGCAGATACCCCACACAGAGCTGTGTTTGGCTTTAGATCACATGCCAGTCCTACCACTCAGTGTGCCAACTAGCTTGGCTGGCTTCATCATCACAGTGCAAGTGGGCACATTCAGCCGCCAGCTGGCAGTCGCGGGCCTCAGATAAGAGAATGGTACAGACATGGCACACGTTCAAAAAGTTTTCACTTCCCTTCCCAAACCCCCTACACTGCAAATGAGGATGGCATGTTCCTAACGAAATTGGAGCCTTTGTTTCAGAGAACTCCCCTCCACTCTCAGGAATAGTATCGTCAAAGACCACTCGTTCCCATTCGTGGGGGAAAATGCTATTCAGGGGGATGCTATGCTACTCCAGCAGATATGTCATTTTCAGAGAATTCTTTATTTGTAGGGCATTTGCACAGCCTTTGGTCTTTTTTGATGCAGATGTCACTGCCGCATTTTCTGAGGATTCAACCTAAAAATGACCGAATGTCATCCCTGATGAAACGAAATACGGCACAGACGACCCATGTTTTTGGATTTGTTTCCTGGAAGTTGGCCATATTTTTGATATGCGATGTATGGGGACTGGAATTCAAGCAATTGAGAGACTTATCTACAGCTTCTAGAGACATGCAGGGATGGAGAGTGGAGGATAATGAAGAGCATCACGTATATGTCTGTTTGTCAGAGAGGAGAGGACAAGACATGGCTAACATAAGGAGTAATAATTATGGTTATGGCGAAAACATGATTAGACAGAGTATCTAGTAAGCAGAAGCTGGCATTCTGCTTCAATGGCCTGCTGCCAACACACCATTCAGCAAAGACCACCTTAAAGGATCTCACCACTGATGGGCAGGACGGCCGCAAGCAGGCGCCAACTCCCATCTTGGCAAAGGACTGCATCGGAGGAAAAGAGAAAGAGGGAAAGAGGGGACCCCCCACAGATCTGTTAGAGAGGCTGAGATGGTAACACAAACCGTGGGGAGTGCCCAAGCATGTGTCAGGTTGGCATCAATGTGAGAATGTCTTGGCAAGCACTCTGCTCTCTCCCCTCCCACCCCAGCTCACACACAAACACACTGTTGCCCTGCTTGGAACACATGGTACATCAGCAGCGGCATCTGGCCGCGCTGACTCCTGGCAGCTGCGCTTCGTCTTCGCCAGTTGGGAGTCTTGGCACTGCCACTTCATCAACTACCTGTGGCTCCTCCTGGGTAAAAAGGGGAGCAATGAATTATTCCGAGGCTGCAGCTGCAAACTTGACTTTCATCCAAGAGATTCACTGTAAACATATGACTGCCTCACAGGGCACATGCCACCCACATACTAATGCATGGTTGACAACACGGCTTTCATTCTGCGCAAAGGGACTTGTGTGTCCTCATGTGATGGCGTGGTTCATTTGAGGGGAACGATGAAGGACGCTCTATGATGACCATCTACATGTTGTATCTCTGTTAAACGCAAGTACTTTCAAAGAGGCCCAGCGAAAAAACAACCCATGGACAACTGGAAGCTCTTGGCTTGCAAAAGTGATTTTCTTTTATTAAAAAAAACTTATATCAACAAAAGCACGGTGAGCAAAAGACGTTAATAAGTGGCAGTAACACAACATTCAGAAAGGCAATGCACACTACGCTCAGTGCTCTTCATCAGGCAGAATCGGTCCATCTCTTTGTGTTGGGAAATGGTGTTGAAAGATCAACTCAAAAGGCAGCCAAGGATTACACTGAAAAGAATTTCCCTCCCATTCATATATAATGAACAAATGGATGGGTGACCTTTCAACTCTACAATTATTGCCTCACATTCCGTTTCTAATAGAGGTTTTGACAACCAAGGACATTTGCCTGAAGCGCACTGAATACATTTCAGCTGTGACACCATGGAATGCTGAAAAACAGTGGGACAGCTTTGTCTGAATTTTACCTCACCTCCTGAAGGAGAATTTCCAATGACATCTTTTAATTTAACAAGATTTAATTTGTCACTTCTTGTTTTGGAGAGTCTAAGATGATACACAGTATAAAGTAATGTTGCTTTGTTTAATGCTTGATTATTTCAGTGGCACTATCTTTTTCTTTTACCTTTTGTCATGGAATATACCATCTACTGGTCTGGATGATTCAATTTCATCACTGAGGTGCATTTAATGCTGGCCCCTCTGCATCAGTACAGAAATATGTTTGGGTTTCTCCTGCGCTCTCAGTTGATTTTTCTTGTAGAGAAGCCTTCACATGGAACATACCTGGGGCAAAAACCCAAAACCCAAAGCCACTCCCTCCCAAATGTCAGCTGTTAGCTATCCAGGTTAGACAGCAGCATTTGAAAAAACAAGCAAACAGTGTGTTTATTGTGATCAGAATCATAGTGTTAAATGACAATATGGGCAGTTGCTCAAGTAATTGATTATATTTTTTTGATTGAGTTTCTATGTGAGGTACAGTCAAGGGAAGTAGTAGAAAAAAGAGTTAGAAGGTTAGAAAAGCAGGAAGCCAAATTTAATGTGAGGAATTCTTGACATCCACCGGCTTTCTTCATGGTTTGCTCTCGGCTACTTGAGAACTGCACGACCCAATTTTGGATTCAAAACTTGTTGTGGTAGTTCTTTTTTTTTGGAATCGTTTCAAGAGAAATGTAGTTGGCAAACTGTTAAAATCTGTCAAAATTCAACTACATCTCTCCCTTACACACGTAAACACACACATGCACAAATTCTATCACTTTTTTCTGTGGGTGTTAGGCATCTGACAGTGACCCAGTGGGAGTTTTTTCCTCCATCTGTGTCGGTCTGACCCATTTTAGCCCTCGGCCACGTCCAACTGTTCCATGTCCCAAACATATGTGCAGTGGCAGGGGGATAAGCGAACCGTCGCCGCGCGGGACCTGCAGACACACACTGCAGATATGACACTGGACCCTGCTTTCCTGTCTGTCTGTTTCCCACAGCATATGTCATCATCAATACTGGCCCCGAGGATTCACACCTTAGTGATTTGACAAAATACCACTCCTGCTCCGAGCTGAGGATGTCCATCTGTGTTATAGATTTGATTATCAGACAAAGTGAATTTGTAAAGATTTTGGATTATTTGTGTTATTTTCATTTTTTCTGCATTTATTCATGTTAATGCACTCAGTGTGTGTTTACTGTTGGACAGGACGTGTTTGGCCTTATTTGTCCTCTGCTGATTTTCAGTTGTTGTCATGACTCTGCATCTCATTCATTGGTTAACCTCTTTTATTCAGTATGCACCTTTATTTATTTTTTTTACTGGGCAGCACTTGATTGGGCATTTGACTCTGTGGACAGGCTGGCTACACTATCTGTGCAGATCATAACACTAGCCAGCGAGGGCAGAATAGGCCAACCAGAGGAGGGACTGGGGTTTTTTCCAAGTGGTCCGTGTTGGCAGATGAGATGGTATCACTGCACAGAGCCAGGACCCACTGGGGACCCTGGGGTGTGAGGCACATATGGGCAAACAGGCTGCTGATGAGCTGCTTATATGAGCCTCTCATCATGGCCTTAGAGAGAGAGAGAGAGAGAGAGAGAGAGAGAGAGAGAGAGAGATGTCTCCACCAGAGGATTTGAGGTGGCTATATGTGGTGGGTGTTCATTATTTGGGTTGGCACTGGATCTTGAATTCAACCTGCTTAGAGAGCAGATATGTTTGTCTGCAGAGATGTTTTCCTTTTAGATTTTTATAAAATGTCATCCAAATTCCTCTGGGACAAACACTGTATAACAATAAAGGTTATATGAAAATGCCTGCAACTTGTTATTGTAATTTACACGTTCTCTGAATAACTGAGGCAGGCGCGTGGTCAAATGGATGGAATAAAGTTGATTTAACTGTAGTCTTAAGGTAACTCACCCTAAATAAATGATAGCCAACTTCCTGACCTACTGGCTGTAATAAGCTTTAGATCGCTCCGGAATTTTTTGATGGCTTTCCACTAATGCCTTATTGATTCTCTTCTTTCCCTTTTAACTCCCACATATGGAAGTGGAAACTATTCCGTTAGATAGACAGCTCACTAACTTGCATCCTCATCAATATGCTGCCTCATTGAACATTGAAGGGGTTATAGCATCTCATTCAAATAAACCTGCATACGGTTGCACTGTATTACATGCAGATGTAAAGTAAAAATATTTAGTTCTTCCATCTTCCATCTCTTTAAAATAAACATGTTCATGATACAGCTTGAATTTAAATAGATTCTCTGG